CCTCAACACCTTTTCATAAGAGATATGTGTTATATGTAGCAACTTCTATCAATGATAAATACACTACTATAGTTATGTGTTATATGTAGCAACTTCTATCAATGATAAATACATTACTATAGTAACAATTACAAAACAGCAGCTACTTTAACTGAAATGAGAAGTGGTAGGCCTTCATATATTCTAAGCCAATGTTCTTCAACCTGTGGTCTGCAGACGACTAGGGTCAGTGCCCAGAAATGTCTGGGCGGTCCACCAAAAATGTCCGCCCAAATCATGTGGCAGCTATATCATTCAGCAGCTACTTCGCTGCTGCACACGACAATGTGGTGCCAGAAGCATAGGCCATATTAGTAATAACAACCAAACACAGGGATTAGCTGGATGTTATTGCAAAGCTCTGTCTTTAAAAAACAATGCAAATAAGTAGCAGCAAATGTCTTACCAGCTAAAGACTTGGATTTCATACACAAATGCTATCTACATTGAGTGTGGTTTTTTTGTCTAGTAAATTCATCCCATAATCCAATCTTCACCGCAAAAGAATGTGATTTCTATAGCTCACTTTTCAGATTTAAAAAAAGGTAGTTAAATGTGAGAGGATAAACTTCACAAAAAGAGACAGGGTCAAGAATACCAGCATTAGAGAGGAAGGAGGAATAAGAGGAATAAGACCATGTCTGGATTATACTGACTGACAAAGAATGAAATGGTTCAGCCATTTAGTGAGGCTGCTATCAGACCAAACTGTATACGAGACTTTACAGCAAAACATCTGGGAGGAAGGTGAGAGGAAGACCAAGCAAGATATATAGATAAATGGTGTAGCAGAAACCTGCAAAAAAGGTGAACAAATCCATCACCCTAGCCACCAGAGAAGTGCAAGACAAATACAGATAACCACAACACTGGGCTACAACCTGGTATCAGTTAGACGCCAAAAGAACAACTTCACTGTACCAAGTTTTTATCCTTAAAGCTTGGTCAATGTAACAGCAGCAGGCCGCCTGCTATGAGTGTCACATAAAGGTCATGCTCTCTAGCTCCAGCCACAATCCCCAAGGGCTCCTCAAATTTGCACAGGTGAACTCACTCCCTGAAATGATCATATGACTATCAAAGAGCCAGGTAACTGGCCTTGTCCACTTCCTTCACATTTCCTAGGTCGTGCAACATGAGGTGAAGTTACAGTTTCCTTCCTCACAATAAACAAGTCTTATCTGCAGCAACTTCTATCAGTAAACAACACCACTATGGTTAAGTTACATAAAAGTCTTATAAGCAGCAACTTCTATCAGTAAACATTACTATGGTTGAGGTACACAAAAGTAAAAAAGCTACAAAAATGTATGATGGCATATAATTATATATTCTCTTGCAACAGAAAGTTAACACTTTGTATTTTCTTCAATAACTTGCGTAGTTTGTGCCTGATTGCAACTACATTTTCCAACATTCTGCAATTACTAGTGTCATAACAGGGAATGCGTTTTGAAGAAATCTGCTTCGTTAAAATAAGATGATACTCACAGTTAGGTATAGGGGGGGGGGGGGGGAAGGGGTGGGGGGGGGGGGGTGTGTGTGTGTGTGTGTGTGTGTGTGTGTGTGTGTGTGTGTGTGTGTGTGTGTGTGTGTGTGTGTGTGTGTGTGTGTGTGTGTGTGTGTGTGTGTGTGTGTGTGTGTGTGTGTGTGTGTGTGTGTGTGTGTGTGTGTGTGTGTGTGTGTGTGTGTGTGTGTGTGTGTGTGTGTGTGTGTGTGTGTGTGTGTGTGTGTGTGTGTGTGTGTGTGTCTCTCTCTCTCTCTCTCTCTCTCTCTCTCTCTCTCTCTCTCTCTCTCTCTCTCTCTCTCTCTCTCTCTCTCTCTCTCTCTCTCTCAAATTAAAAGGTCAAACTGCTTAATAATGAATGAATGTGCCTTTCTCTGGTATTAATCACACAGCTTCAAAGCGGCCTCTCGTTGAATGGATTAAGTTTCAGATTACAGATTGTGGAAGATTATTCCAATCAAGTGTGAGTTAAATTTCAACATGTAACATATTTTAAGGTGGATTTAACATGGTTGTCGAGCAAAACTTTAGTTAAATTTCAACATGTAAAATATTTTAAGGTGGATTTAACATGGTTGTCGAGTAAATGCCCTACATTCTCAAGTTAAGGGTTAAGGTCAGATGAAATTGCTGGCCATTGATAAAGAACATTAATGTTGTTCTGCAAGAGAAATGCAGTGGTACTCGTGCTCTTTGAGGGCTAGCATTGTCATACATCAAAGTAAAGTCCTGTTGCATCAAAGTAAAGTCCTGTTGCATCAAAGTTAAGTCTTGTTGCATCAAAACAAAGCCCTGTTGCATCAAAATAAAGTCCTGTTGCATCAAAGTAAAGTCCTGTTGCATCAAAGTAAAGTCCTGTCCATGAGTTTTGGAAAATGGCACAGATGGTGTCAGGACATTATGTACATACCCCTGCTCTGTGATTTCGCCCCAAAATGATAAAAGCTCTGTTCTAAATCTGTCTTTCCTCCCCATATGATGATGCTACCCTAACCACAGTTCAAGGCCTCACTGATGCAGTTATTAGCATATATCACTCGCATAAATGCCAGTACACCCTGATTCGGCCATCCTGTCTTTCCATCACGAATCTAGACTGAGAACACGACAGACTGCCATTATCTTCGATGCCATCTGCTGAAGTCTTTTCTGAATGTGGGAGTCGACATGTGTTTGCTTCCTTCAAACAGTGTAAACACAGTTTACGAGAAACATGTCTGTAATGTGATGGTGCACTGATGTGTCTTATCATCTAAGCAGATTGGAAACGATTCTGCGAAGGAACAGTAGTACGAATAAATTGGTCTTGACTTTGTGTAGTCACCCTTGATCTTCCTGGCCTTGGAAGGTCTCTGATGACCCCATTTACTTGAAAACACTGTTGCAGTTTTCAAGTCAAAAAGAGGTGTCACCACACATGAAAACCATAGAGGTAGCCAAAAATATATACTGAAGATGGGATCCATGCACTTATGGACTTGGGTGATGTGCAATGAGGATAACCTATCGATTAATTAATTAACTAACTAACTGTTGCAGTCAAAAGACTGTTAATCGGGAGACTTGAAAAACCCATGCAACACTCAAAATGTTCATACCAGTATTAAAGTTAGTTGAGGCGATTGCTTTCTAATTCTGTGAGTCACAGCAAGATGGTGGTAATAATGGTCAATTTCATAAGAAGAGTCATCTCTGCAAACAGTGAAACAAAATTAATTTCAAGCTTATTTATAGTCACAAATTATTTGGTAAAAACCAACTCCATGTGACTAAACAGGGTGGACAAGTTCTTTGAGCCAAATTAAAATTGAGTATTGTCTATGGCTTTATCAAGGAAGCAACGTGTGAAAATTACATAGAATTTGAGTGAGTCGTTTTCAAATATACGTGTTTAAAAAAAAATGTTAACTTTCTTTTGCAAGAGAGAATAGTGTAATGTGAGTATATAATCCCATAGCAATACTACACTCAGGATGTCAAGAGGTCAGACAATCAATCAGGTACCATCTCCACAATAAAGATTGGCTGCAATCATAAGTGCCAGACCTGGGAGTTCAGGCCCATTGAGCATCCCCTTCCCTCCCAAACTGTATGTCTGAGAGGGGGGTTGAGTGGCCTCCTTTTATTATGCATAACAATTCTATTTTAAAATATTCATTCATAGATTTTATATTTCAAGTAAATTATATTCATTTGCAATTTAGCACATTATTATTATGCTCTTAAATCAGGATTAAGTCCCCTGAGCCCCCCTTTCATCCTATAAAATTTATAAGGATGGGGTTGGGGGAGGGGGTATACTTGTCTCTTTTTTAAATTTCCATCTGCAACTCTCATTTCAGTCCTTTTCTTCAGAACCTTGGTGTTTGATGGTTTTTCTCCCCATGAAATACACCCTTTTCTTGTATTAACCGTATCTCCAGTATAACTTTATAATCGCTTGTCTATTGTTCAGGTCTCTCAGTAAAGCTGAGTATTTATAACATTTGGCAAATCTCATTTTTAATGTTGTGTTTATCCCTCTTCTTCTTCTTCTTTAGCATTCCAAGCCCTTAAGGATTATTGCTGCAGATATCTCCCGCCTCCCCTCATCTCTCTGGCTGACCCTCTATTTCCAGTTGGTGATGCCAAGTGTTTATCCCTCTTCTTCTTCAGCATTTCAAGCCCTTAAGGATTATTGCTGTAGATATCTCCTGCCTCCCCTCATCTCTCTGGCTGACCCTCTATTTCCAGTAGGTGACGCCAAGTGTTTATCCCTCTTCTTCTTCAGCATTCCAAGCCCTTAAGGATTATATTTGCAGATATCTCCTGCCTCCCCTCATCTCTCTGGCTGGCCCTCTGTTTCCAGCTGGTGACACCAAGTGTTTATCCCTCTAGATGTCAGTAATTTGGGCACACTGTTGAAAATATTCATATTTGTTAAAGCACTGCCTCTTCTTCTTCTCAGCAATCACCGGCTGTAAACTCTCGCAGAACATTCTGGTTGTTCACCCACTGCTGGACTTTGGTCTTGTTCCAAAACTTGAATTTAACCTGCATATTCTTTTCTCATATCTGGCTTATTTGTATGCAGACTGTTGGTTTCTCGCCTCTCAGGCAGATACACTCCAACTTCGTAGGGAACATCCCTAATAAGTCAACTTTTATCACAGGTTTTACAACTAATGCTTACTGGAATGTGTTTTTAGGGTTAAGGCATAAAGTGAGATACCTTTTCATTACACTAGTGTTTTGTTTTCCTGTTTTGAAATACTTTTCTACATACTTAAAAAAAATCACTGCCAAAATCTGCCAATCATCTGTGCAAAATAGGTTATGAAAAAAGGAAAATAATGATGGATAATACAAATCTGAATAATCGATAAACATACAGCAAGTATTTCTACTTTATTTTATCACACACAATGCATGCTATCAGCATTTCAATGTACAGAATTACTAAACAACATAGCTGCTATTGGTGAACCATCTTTGGGTAGATGTTTCCAGAGGTCTTGTCAGCACGAGCAGCAGGGGATTCATTACTCCTTTCATGTTTCTTCAGAGCAGCTTTGTGAACCTTCTCTAGAAACTCATGCACACCTGTGAAGCAGTGAGTGAGGAATGTGGCAGGAAATACACCAGTGAAATATGTTATTAACACAGTGTCAGAAATTGGGAGTTGTGGTAGTAGAGCGACTAGGTCATGGCCATTCAACTAAGTCTACTCAGGGACCAAAATGTTGGAAATGGGGATCATTGAGGACCAGAGCCCAAATCCCCAACATTAAAAAGATTAATGCTTTATTAATATTCTACCCCAAACAGGGGAAATCCACAGGTCACGGGACAGTCTAACATTTCAGGGGGTGATAGATAGGCTGCATGCAGTTGTGGGACCTAGGCTGCATGCAGTCGGGGGACCCAGGCTGCACTCTCTCGTGGGATGTAGGTGGGTTGGGATCAGGGCCAGTTTATGTATGTTTTGGGGTCGTTAAAAGCATCAGAAAGCCGGGAAACCCAGTCTTACCATCCTCTAAAATGTTGGACTGTCCTAGGGGTAGGATATTAATAAAGCACCAAATAAAATAGTCGGCAATGGTTCGTGGACAATTTACTAGGCCTCTGCTGGCTCAATCTGGTCTGGCCAGATTAGACCCGAGGGGTGCCAGCTGAACAGCCCTGGGCTAGACGCTGGCCTGAAGGTCTTGGGTTCAAGTCCATACTGAAGTATTATTTGTTTTCCATCCTTCCAATGAGTATTATTTGTTTTCAAGACCTTGTCTCCCGAGTTGACACAGCCTAAATGGGTAGTATAAGATAATATCATGGGAAGTAAAAGTGACCGGCGTGATGTTGATCCTTTCACCCATCGCGTGCCGACTGGTCTATAAAATTATAAGTCAAGCACTGTTTGCGTGATGCAACAAAAGTGTGACAAGCATCCATTATTTTACATCAGAAACACAGAGCTGCAATGGCACAGCTGTTAGCCTGCTAGTCTGTTGACATGGTAGCAGAGTTTTGATGCTCAAAAATGGGTATCCAAAAAGTTTTGAGAATCTTCTGAGAACTATCTGGTAACGTAAGACAATGAGGAAGGGAACTGGCCACCTGTCATGGTCTAGAACAAGGCTATTTAACTAGTGGCCCACCAACCAAATCTGGTCTGTAGTTCCCCTCCCTACCAATTGTAATATATATATATATATATATAAATGATCTATCTATTCTGATGCTCTATTCAAAAGGGATCCCCGTTTTTCAACATTTTGTAAGTAAACTTAGCTGAATGGCCCAGGCTTAGAATGAGAAAACTTCAGATTTCACACCCCAAAGGCAGCATCTGACACTGGACAAATATCTTCAAATCATTTTAACCCTTTTAGCACGGGAAGTTTTTCAGAGGTCTAGCCAAAAACACGGAGCATTTTTTCAGTGACTTTGGTTATTACTTTATTTAATTTTTTTGACAGATTTCTGTTATTCTGACCCCTATGAAATAATATATCTATTTGAAGGATATAGATTGAAGTTCGTGATTTTCACAATATCGTTAAAATTAATTGATGTATATGCAAATTATCTCATTTGCATATCTAAAAATAAAAAATATGAATTTGAATTTTCAACTTCAATGCTTGAAACATAAAACTAAAAACAAAAATTTTTTTTATTTGAAATCTTTTAATTGATCTTTGGCCTTTTTACAAATGGTGTAAGCAATTCAATAGTCAAAAACAGGTATATATATGTGAAACAGCAATAATATCTTTAGGTGACATGTGTTTTTCACCATCAGTCAGCACTAGAAATGGATGTGCCGGAGTGTCAACACCTTCGGGTGGATATACCCTGAGCCATGGTTGGGCTGTGGTCTGAACACAACAGCGTCCCCATCTGATTCCAACTATTACTACTAACACTAAATCCTGCATCAGTATCAACAGAATTAGTGTCATCACTTGATTCAAATGTTTTATCAACATCAAGTTTAGCGGCAGAAACATACGAGTCAGACATACTTTTAGCGGTTCAGGTCACTATCTAAAAAATTCAACAACAATTTTCACTTCGATACCAAACACTCGAAAGTCGCCATGTGTAAAGCTGATACCGCAGTTAATATAAATGAATCACTTTCAGTGTTTCAAAGTAGGAGATTTCTTAGCGGTTCGAGGCGAAACACGATCGGGCCGATCATCGGCCGTTCCGTGTTTTTGGCTAGACATCCGCCGGCCGATAATCGGCCCGTCCGTGCTAAGAGGGTTAAAGCTGCAGTTATGATATACTAATGGGGATAACAACACAGTTCTGGATTCTTCTTCTTCTTCTTAGTGATCACCCGCTGTAAACTACGGCAACAAGTTCTGGCTGTTCGTCCAGTTCTGGACTTTAGCCTTGTTCCAGAACTTGACTTTGCATATTTTGCACTTGACGTGCACATCCATTATATAGATCTGGTCCACTTACATGGTTCTTTCCCTCTCGAGTGGATGCACTCAGGCCTCGAAGGAAACATCCCTAATTAGTGGACTTTTACTAAATGCTTGTTAGCGAGGCAGTGGGTGGGTTTATTTTTCCCTCATAAAAAGACCCCAGAACTATTTTGTGGAGTTGAGGATTCAATATGGGTCTTGAGAAAACTAGAACATTTCCTGTTGCTTCTCTATCTCTTCTAGTTATACTTAGGATTCACCATAGACATTTCATTTTTGTGCGTTTAGATTTTTTTTTTGCTGTTATGTCTATGTCTGGCAATAATAAAACAATGTTGGTTAGAAGAAAAAAAATACAGTATTGATAGTTTTCTTTTGGTGTGAAATTCATTTCAGATTAATCAAACCTGATAAAACAGGCAACAGAGATTTATACAGGAAAGGACAGTTAAGTGTCAAGATAGTAACAATGTCAGACTGTGGTGTGAATTCAAATAAGGGTTTCTAATTACATCCCATTTGCAATTCCTTCCACAAATAACATAAAAATCTCTTCTCTCAACAAGAACAGTTTTTCAATCAAATATGTATAATCTCTAGCAGCATTTATACACTTCATTTTATAGTTTTCTATTCTGTTGGGCCATAATACTATTTTATAAACTCACGTCCACTGGATTTTCCAGTCATTAGATCATTTATTTGTACAATTACATTCAGAGTTGCAACTATGATACGGTTTATTTACCAGATCTTATGGTTCACCCAATGCCACCTGGAAACTCTTTTTAGAATTTAGAATAAAATGTTACTGAACTATTACCTGTACTGGCCATCCAGTTAAAGCACATCGGTGGGAAGTTAGTCTTGGGGTCATCAAAATAGGTCATTACGTAATCAAAGCCATTCTGTAAAAACAAAATTATTATTATAAATGTTTTACAAAATTTCAAACACCACAAAAAATACATATATCTGTACATATGTAGATGAGGGATGTAGTTGGAAGACCATAATTTTCTTGACTGCAATACACATACACTCACATAATATATGTCTGCCTCAATGCAATTTTTCATCGAGATCTGGGGTGCGGTGAGTTCAATCACAGGTGTGAGGAGGAACAGTTAAGCCCATTGTGAGGTGTATAAGAGAATACCCCATGCTTCACCCCGTGTGCCATCATTCTCTGTGCTAGTTTTATGGACACTTATGCAAGACTCATGCCACACATCCAGGACCCGTGTTAGTGAAGTCGACAGGAGGCTCGCTTTCAAATACAGCTGCGACTCGCTGCAGCCACGGTCAGTGTTCAAATCCGAGCGGTTCCCGGGGTTCACCCAGCCTCTAGTAAATGGCTACCAGAGTGACACTCCGGAGTAAATAGAGGAACGTAGCTGTAGCTACAGAGTTACGTGTGGACGGTGACACAGGCGGACAGTTTCTTATCAGCTGTCCGTACTGGTGGCAGAGCACTTATGGTTTATAACCGTGTGCAATGAGGCTGGTTCACATCTCCCGACTTTTACCTTTCCTGCCACACATCCATATCTCAGAGCTGGTGGCCCCCAGAGACGCAGTGTCCAGAAAATCTGTGGCATTCATCAGGACATCTCCAATGCACAGGTGATAATGTCTACAGAGAACTCACCATACAATGAACATAGTTCACGGCTCAAGCCTCCTATTAAATGACAGAGCTTCAGATGTTTTTCGACTGAGTGCCCTACTGAATGGCAACAAAGTGTTCAGGATACACAGGATTCTAGGACTACTTTCGACACTGTATGTATTTAAGTTGCTTCTTCTCAGATGCTCAGCTCTTCACCAGTCTGCAATCACTTTCATCCCTTTCTGATTTTCCCACTCTATGTAACATGGTCCATGGTATCTTGCCCCCACAAATCTACCTCAATAATACACATAAATATAGAGGATTAAACATATATATCAGTGAAAACCATATGAGATGACAAAACATGACCACCAACATTTATCACCAGGGCACATGATGATGACGATGACCTGCTAAATAATTCCTAATAAATACTTATCTAAAACATTTAACAGACTACATCAAAAACACAAAGCTGATCAAACAACAAGCTACTACAAGACACACCTCTTCAAATGTGGTATCAGGTTTAATGACCATCTGTGAGCAGTAGGTTGCCACTCTGACACAGGAGTCAGTTTCAGGGCAGCTTGGGTGCTCAGTGGCGCGGGCTGTTATAACCATGGTGCTTGTGTTAGCATCCACCTGTTGAGGAGTAAATTATACAAAAATACTGTCCACTCACATTGTTTTCAAATCTAAGGTGAAAAAGAATATTAGTAAACTACTGCTCAAAGGAAATAATAGAAATTCCACAGCTATTTGTTGAATATTGAATAAGGAATCAACATCACAGCACTCAGGACACTCTCATAAGTGCTCCATCCCCATCTTCAGCAGCAAGTGAAGATTTACAATTCCAATGATGAAGCTGGATTATATAGTGGCAATTTTCAAGCTGCAGTGGGACACTGGAACCAAGTAGCAGCTATTAAAGTGGGAAGCAGATTGGGTACTTTTGAACAGATAAAGCAAGGAGTAAGACAAGGATGTGTCTTATCCCCAGACCGTTTCTCTCTATATAGGGAAATAATTTTGAGGGAATTAAAGAGAATGCAGGATTAAGAGTTGCAGGATACAATATAAACAATTTGCTTTATGCAGACGATACAGTTTTGATAGCTGAAAATGTAACTGATTTATAACAACTGCTGGATATTGTGGGGATGGAGAGTGCTAAGAAAGGACTTTCATTGAATATTAGGAAAACGGAAGTAATGGTTATATCAAAGAAGATAACTCCACGTTATTTCTTAATTAAAGGAAAAACACTTAACCAGGTCAATAAATTCAAATATCTGGGAACAATCATATCATCAAATGGAAAATGTGTGACAGAGATTAAAAGCAGAATAGTTGGTCAAGCGAAAGCTGCATTTCAGAAATTGAAAAATATCTTATGCAATAAATCGCTCTCATTTAGTGTCAGAAAAAGGGTGCTAAAATGTAACATAGAACCTGTTCTGCTGTATGGCAGCGAATCTTGGAATGTCAGTGAACAAATTAGGAAGAATTTGGAAGCAACAGAGATGTGGTTTCTAAGACGAATGTTACGAATACTTTGGATGGCCAGAGTAACTAACAACTATTGCTTGGAATAAGCTAATGAAAGTAGATCTCTATATACAACAATAAGAGAGAGACAAACACTGTTCTTTGGCCACATTGTGAGGAGAGAGTCATTGGAGAACATCGTGACAACTGGAAAGATCAGTGGAAAATTGGGTAGAGGTAGACCAAGAGAGATGATGCTGGATGGGCTGAAACAATGGCATGGAGGGATATCATCAAGAGAGCTGTTCCAGGCAGCCAAGGATAGTGATCTGTGGAGACACATGAGCGCCTACGCCAGTTGGCAGGGCACATAATGATGATGATGATGATGAGTGGGACAGCATATCTTAATCCCAACAACCTCCTGCTACCATACCTCTAAGTTTCTCACCTCCATGATCATTATCCCTTTACATAATTACTCTAAATGATACCCATCTCTCCACAAAATCATCATCAGGCCTTCATTGTGACGTGCAGAGCTTCATGCTGATGTGTGTGGTACCAAGATGAAATAGGCCAAGTAGGGGTAAAACAGTAGTTACTTCAATGCTTTCAAAAGGTAGAGCTCGAACGCTATGCGTTAAGTTCCAACGGTTGTATTGACATATACAATCAGCAATACAATGAGAAATACATATGCACGTAATAATCAACTCGTTCAACCAAGGCTCGCTCGTACATCTATAGACTGACATGTCCTCACGATAGGTCGCAGTCCGACCTTGAGATCCAGACGATTTACTTTCTCCTCGGACAAGTCCGAATTAAGCAATGAAAGTATACCGGCTTGCTGCCGAGAATGTAGTGCTCACCAGCTTCCTGCTGAGGTCTTGGAGTCCCGGGGTAAAACGTCCTCAAGGATCCAACTTTATATAACGTTTGCTTCCGTGGGATCCCGGGGTAAAGCGTCCTCAAGGATTCCCACGTCCGTCTCCTTCGGACTATAAACATCAACTGCTCAGACAACAATATTATCATAACAACGTTACGTATTGTTTTGACGTCTTATTTGCTCACTCCGTAAAGGTCCGCACGTATCAATCAACTCGTTCAACCAAGGCTCGCTCGTACATCTATAGACTGACATGTCCTCACGATAGGTCGCAGTCCGACCTTGAGATCCAGACGATTTACTTTCTCCTCGGACAAGTCCGAATTAAGCAATGAAAGTATACCGGCTTGCTGCCGAGAATGTAGTGCTCACCAGCTTCCTGCTGAGGTCTTGGAGTCCCGGGGTAAAACGTCCTCAAGGATCCAACTTTATATAACGTTTGCTTCCGTGGGATCCCGGGGTAAAGCGTCCTCAAGGATTCCCACGTCCGTCTCCTTCGGACTATAAACATCAACTGCTCAGACAACAATATTATCATAACAACGTTACGTATTGTTTTGACGTCTTATTTGCTCACTCCGTACCGGTGCGTTCTGGTGCACATTCGCACGCGACAAGGCCGTAACACTGTGTATGTTGGGTTACCAGTTTCTGCTGTCTGATCAGCTCTCTCCACCTCTGGAGGTCAGTTGCGATGGACCTCAAGATTTCATACCTGAGGCCTGTCCAGTCAGTCAGGCTCTGTAACCAGGTCTTTCTTGGTCTGCCTCTTCTCCTCTACTAAGCCCTGCAGTATTGTTTTTGACAGGCCGTTAAATCTTATTACATGTCCAAACCAGCATTTTTCACCTTTTTAATGCAGTTAAAAGAGGTTCATAGCTGCAAATGCAATCTCTCTACACAATTCCTCAAAATGATCCCCCCCCCCCTTTCCAATCCTTTTACACAATTCCTCAAAATGACCCCTTAACACAATTCATCTAAATAATCCCTAAACCTTTAAACCATTCCACTAAATGACTCCCATACATTTAAACAATTCCTCTAAATAATCCCTAAACCTTTAAATTATTCCTCTAAATGACTCCCATATATTTAAACAATTCCTCTAAAAAATCCCTAAACCTTTAAATTATTCCTCTAAATGACTCCCATATATTTAAACAATTCCTCTAAATGATCCCTATCCATATATACAATTTCTATAAATGACCCCTCACTCTTTACACAATTCCACTAAACGATCCCTTATACCTGGCAATCAGTCTAAATGATCCCTTTCCCTTCATTCAATTCCTTTAAATGATCCCCAGCCTTTTACACAAATGCTCAAAATCACCCCTATCCCTTTACACTATTGAAGCCAAATGATCCCTGCACCTTGAAACAATTCCTGTAAATGATCCTTATCCCTGTAAATAATTCCTCTAAATGCTCTATTACTTGGTACAATTCCTCTAGGTCACCACAATCTCCCAGACAAATTGTACACACTATCTAGTAAAGTCAAGCAAAGGATCCTTTCCCATGTCTTCAGGCTGTACTGGGCATACAGGGCTAGACCATTATTTTATAGACAAATCGGCATTCGGTGGGTGATGTGGTCAGCATCATGCCGGCTACCTTTACTTCCCAGGACTGCACCTGATACCCACTCAAGACAAGGTCATCTTTAAAACAAAAAAAGCCAGGCTCCATCAAGGCCTGAACCCATACCCTTCTGATTCACAGGGGAGCGTCTAGCCATTACACCACAGTGACTCCCACACCATCAAAAACTGTAAACAAAACCTACCTTACAACGGCGAACATATACATAGTCTCTTGGATACATCGGATACTGCGGGGGGGAAAAAAAACAATTTAAAAAAATGTTACAGCCAACATATGTGTCGCTAATTGGGCACACAGGCCTGTCTTACAATAAGAAAATTAAATAAATTACCTGAAGAGACAAGTAACAATTACTGTTTGGACTAAAAGAATTACAAGAATAGCTAACAGAACTGATTGACATCTGAACAGATTTAACCATAAGATAGGAAAGCTTATTGCTGTAATGTCTGTTGCCAGTTTGGTTTATTGTAATAAAAATTTTGTAAAGCTGACCACAAACAGCATCCTGTCCTGAAAGGAAGTATTTTGGCCACATCAAATGTCATAGTTGCTTGGTAAAGACACTGATGGAGGATGCAGTTTGTGGAAAGTCAAGTACGGGTTGACCTCCGCGAAGATGAATACAGGACTTTGAAGATGCCCTGGCATTGAAGCACACGGGGCTGGAGAGCTGGCTAGGGAAAGGGATACTTTCAGGCACACTGTGAGTAGAGTGACGTTCTGTAAAGGACTTGCTGACTGATGAAATCTGACATACACTTTATATTTTTCAAGTGTTTTCAGTTTTTTCTTCTTCTTCTTCTTTGCATTCACCAGCTGTAAACTCATGCAGAAAGTTATGACTGTTCATCCATTTCTGGACACTTTAGTCTTGTTTCAGAACTTGAGTTCTGTGTGTTTCTTTGTTTTATGGATCTGGCTTATTCATACAGAGACTGTGGGTTCCTTGCCTCTCAGGCAAATGCACTCTGACTTTTAAGAAAACCCCTTATTAGCTAACTCTTAGGACATGCTTGTTAGGGAAGCAGTGAGCCTATTAACCCCCCCCCCCCCCTCTCATTAATAAGTGTGTCCTAAATGGAGACTAAAGGCTTGCTCAGATTGGTTGTGTTAAGTTCAGAGGCGCAGATATCTCAGCGTAGCTGTAAACTACAATACAATATGTCAACCATCCTTTTACAGAATTATGCAGAAATATTATTTCACACCTTTACGTGCGCTTTGCTACAACTACATGCCAAAACAACAAACAAACAAATGACTTACCGGGAATCTGTAAACCCAATGTACCACTTCTGAGTCAGTTTCAACATCTTTGTCAATTATTTTCACCTCCACTGTGTTCTTATCCCAGTCTTTCCAGTATCCAAGATCAACCTGTGACAAACCACCAGCATAATAAATCACACCAGTAGGCATTCATTATACTCATTTGCTTGACTGGTTGGTTGTCAGTTCTCAACAAGAAAAAGTGTTTGAACTCTTAACCCAGTCGCCCCGAAAAGACCAAATCTAGTCATTTCTGGCTGTGACCCAGTCTCATAGATGCAGCTATATGGCCATGACTGCAATGAGCTTCTCTTGAAAAGTGTAGTTAAACTCCACTGCTGTAATTAATAGGCCAGGATTTCAATAAAGTAACTACAAATAGCAGTTATGGAGGTTTAATTATGACCACAATGGCTTTTTGAAAACAGAGTTATCACTTTTTCCCGCAAGCCTCAGTGATAGATATCACAGCATGAGTCACCCAAATCATTTTTTAAGGCTATGGGGTGTGTATTCCATTTAATGCTGTAATCTATGTTTACCGATTACCCTAACATATATTTGTGTATAATTTGTTTTTTAAAGAAGTCAATAATGTAGATAAATATAAGTCAGTAAACAATTTATTAGTAAGCTCTGTAACATAAGTAAAAAAAAAAAAAGTAAAGATCCCTTTACACGCCCTTAGGCGCATCGGCCATATGGGAAGAGCACCCATATTTTTACAGACCAATCGGCACTCGGTGGGTAATGTGGTCAGCATTACGCCGACCGTCTTTACTTTCCCCAGGACAGCCCATCCTGAATGTTTCTGTAAATTCCCATGGGTTTATGAATCATGTTCTTAAGCATGCATAGTACGAATGGTTGAAGTCTGTAAAATGATGTTCAGTTTGGGTAAACTCTGACAGGGGCTACATCTATCCGAGCGAAGATGGTCTACGTATTTGTTGGTTAGTCGACAGATTATCTTCGAACCACATCGAACCATTCAGTCCATAAGTGCTTGGATCCCCGCTTTAGTAAATTCATCAGCATGTAATGGCTAACGACACCCGTTCTGTGTTGGTTTCTTATTCTACTCTGGCTTCCTGCACAGTGCTCTTTTCTAGGTACACCCCTTTTAACATATTGTTCTTGCAGTCTGGTCATTGTTGCATATTCACAGTCATCACTTGGTTCTTGCAAAAGTCTTACTTCTCGTAGTGCATTCAGAATATCAGCATGGTCCATGGCTCGTCCACCCTCCACAGTAGCTTTACCTGCAAGCCAATCAACTTGATCATTTCCTTGCACGCCTGCATGCCGTGGCACAAATATGAAACTAATGTGTATCAGCCCGGACCGCTTTAGAGACTCCAGCCACTGTCTTAGGATCCAGCCTTTATCTTCCTGAGCATACTCATTAGGTCAGTGAGAAAGTATGCGTGGGAAAAGGTCTGTGTCTCCAGCCATGTTACTGCTTTGGTCAATGTCATAACCTCCATAGTCAGACTACTTGTGGTCAATGCAACAGCACCAGAATCTTGCTTCATAATACTAACTCCAGCATGCGCACTGAAAGCCCAAGAGCTTCTCAAATGGCAAATTACTGACCCATCTGTGTTAATGATAGCATTCCCCTGTAGAGAATTCTAGAAAATCAAAGCCTGCACTTCTGCCTCAACAGCGGCTGGACTTTCTTATCTGCATTTTCTGTCTAGATGGATGCAAACAGAAAAGGTTGTGCCGCACTCTGTTGGTACTTGTACCCATTCCTCACCAGGTTCTTTATCCTCAAGTGAACACACCTGCTGAATAATGTCCTCAGCCTGGCCCATCCATGTACCTCCTGCCTTTTTTTCTTCTCAATTTCACCATGCAGCTGGTGTCGTGTGTCTGCGCTGACACACAGGTAGGCACCTGTTTGGCAAATTTAAATTCTGTCTTCCATGGTTGGAAAATCGAGAAGGTAGCGCATCACCCTGCAAGCTGTATCTTTTGTACATCCATGGCCTCGTTCTGTATCCTTTCCATCTGCTTGTGGCTGAGAGTCAGGATTGCCATCGCATTCTTAAAGACAAAAAGGACCAGAGCCTGATGCAACAGACACAATGACGCTGCTCACAGTTTGCTGCAGCCATCAATCTCATCGCAACCACGACCCACTTGGCTTTTATTATCACCTGGTCTATGGGCCCAGTATAGGCCAAGCCGCGATCAAATCGCATCCCAAGGTACTTCATTGCCTGTATTCTTTCCACAATTTCTGAGCAAAGACTTACAGTTGGCATTGGGGTGTTAACAATATGGTTATCTAAAGAGAACAATGCCACTGCTGCCTTCGTTGAACTGACCAATGCACAGGCTTCACCATATCAACTGCTTTTGCGGTTGAGTTCTGTCTGTAGTTCTCCAGCATCTTGTTCTCTGCCTATACCCTGCCGACACTCAAACACATCTTCAGTGTACGACAGCCTCATCCCCTGTCCCGTGATTTGCTCAGTTGTGATTTTCACTATGTAACCGCTAAACAGCACGGGAGATAATGGTGATCCCTGTGGCAGACCGGGATATATGGTTGTAGGTTTGAAAGTCCAACTGCCACATCTAAAAACTACATTTTGTTGGAAGAGGGCTGTAAAGATTAAACTGAGAAGGAATGGGCTTATTTTTAGCTCGAGAAGTTGACATATTAAAAAGTCTGTCTCAAGATCAATAGCCACCGCACACGTTTTAATGCCTGAGTGGAAAACTTCATACACGTCATGTGCGAAAACATTTGCTGCACTGGTCCAGGTTTCTCTGTTTGGATGACATCCTCCAAGGGTAGATGGAAGAATATACTGCCTTTTTAGCTGGCACGATATTTTTCTGGCAATTATCTTCTCCAACAGCTTAATCAGTATTCTGCATGGTGATTATGTGATACCCCTAAATTTGTGTGTGGTCTTTGCCAGGTTTTGGCAGAGGTATCAGTTAGCCATGTGCTCACTCCTCGTTGATACTAGCATTAGTTATACCGTTATTGTACAACTCTGCTAGTTCTTCCAGCTCTTCTTCAGAACAACTTCCAATGTCATCATATATTATATCATCTGGACCTGGTGCAATGTTTTTTTCGTCATAGCACAGCCTTGATCTCATCAACTGTCACTATGTCTTCTTCAGCAATTTTCTGGGACTTACATTTTTCTGAGGTAACCATCTATGCGAAATTACGCCTTCTCAAGTCTGTCGGGCTGCTCTGTTGTAAACAGTGATCTAATAGGGCCTTGCTCTTATTTTCATGATCCTTTGTCAGGTGAGGTCAGCACTCTGAAAGTCGGGAATACTCCTGTTTCTGACAGACCGCTCACACTTTTATGTAGTTGCTAGAACAACTTCAGTGATGTATCTTTACTTATTCTGTTAAACACATTCTGCCCACTTCTCACCTTTAACCAACTTAACCATCTTTTTAAAGCAACCAACTTTTGTGTCCATGACTATTTTCAGATGCAGGATATGACTAGGCTGGGCAACTCTTGTTTCTTTTGGCGTTTTGCCACAGTACAACGTTTATCCGCCCAGGCTTTTTCCACGTCTTAATTTTACTTATTCAGCCCAAATTCTACTTATTTAGTATCAAAGTACTATCTTCAGATGTATTTAAAGTTCTCCTTTCCCTTTACCAGCTCAGAAAATCACAGTGATGTGCAGAAATATCACTTCTGCGGAGAAGCATACCAGGATACAATCAAGGCATCATTTAACACAACACAAGGACTGGGTGGGATTAAATATAGGTTGCAGTCCTTGATACGTGCACGATTGACAAAGAAGAGTTTCATTTTTATGACAGGTAATGAATGTGTAAGAGGACATGAAAAGGTTGATAGGCTGGCATACAAGGCTACTGCGAAAGAACAATGGACCAGGCCGACATACTCAATGTTGTACAAGTAATATATTTGTAGAAATTAAGCAATGACTGAATTCACAACTGTCACGAGACGATCTCAGTGATTCCAGAAGTTAGTACTTGTAATAAGTTCTTCTGGTTCTAAAGAGAGAGGATTATATTTACTCTGCCCTTTACCCTAATATTACTTTAAACCAAATTGATTTAAATGTTACCAGTCCTTCTCCCAGACAAAGCCACTGCGCTTTGTTTAAAATTACCTAACACTACGTAATACAGCCCGCTGGTTCAGACTAGGGATGTGAGGTTGGATTCTCACGCCAGTGTCAGAATGTTATCTCCTGACCAGACGGTAGAGACTGAGCGGGGCCCTTTTGAACAGGGAAATTGAGTAGACGCTAGACATTGTGGAGCCCAGAGGTCAGAGTTTCACACGTCAGTGTAATTCGGGGGAGAACAGTTGTGTGGCAATTAGGACTGTTTGATCTGGGTCAAGTAGGAAACACAATGGCTTCACTGAACGTCTTTTAACACCTGCCAGTTAGATTCGTTGTAAACTAGATTGGGTCACTTAAGAATGTTTGCTCTAGGGATGTCAGTCCAGAATTGAGTGACAGGTCACTGGTTAGCCAAGTGATCTGATGGTTACCTCAGGGGCGGTGCTTAAGCCATCATCTTGAGGGTTGGGTAAAAACTAAGTAAAGGGAGGAGTTTAATTTGGACAATAGATTGATACTTATACTTCGAGCCTGTGGAATTTCCGTCATTAATCGCAGCCTGCCGGCAAACAACACAGATCAACCTAAAAGGTAAATTTTACGGTCGCATTCTGTTTTGGCGATTAATGGAAAGTTCCCAGGTAAGAGAAAATATTAATTTTAATCTTGTATACTTAGGTTAGGGAGTTAAGCTTAGTCTATACTACCTTTTCCTAATTTGTCTGCACATTCTGCTTGAAATAGTTCTTTGTGAAGTATTCAGTATCTCAGTTAGGGAACTGCTAAACTATTCCTATTTCTTGTATGTTTGTGTCACATGTTTTTCATTGTATGTTTTCATGTGTATAAAATAAGATGTGAACAATGACATTTGCTAAAATGAAATGTAATTATATTGTTTCCATGATGCCCATATGTGCAGGGATGCTGCTACGTTTTGTGTGCCCACCATGTGCTCACTTAATGTGTTCACCTGAACAGGGGATTTATAACCCCATGGGAAGAATGATGGGTGTACAGTATTCACGGTCACTGAAAGATAATATTCAGGACAGCGTGCACATATAAATTGTTTGCGGGTTCAGCACATAACCTGCGCCACATGTTTATGTCAAATCTATGTCAGCCAACTCGAAGTCTGAGTGAAGACGGACAACAGACTTAGAAAGTCAACTATCATGACATAGCATGAAGAGGGAAGGCAGGATATGTGACGCCCATGTAAGACAAAAGACCTTCAGACTAGACTGGAGAGGATGTGGAATATGAGGAGGAGTGATAGGATATATTTTATTATTATATGTTGTATTAATTAATACATGTATTCTTAGTGTAAGTCAAGATACTACACGTATGTGTTTTGTTTCCATGATTACAGCGCCCATGTGACGATCAGTCCATGAAGTAGCCTACATTGTGTTAGACTCGGCCAGCTGGGAACGAGGTGGAGAACGAGGTGGGGATGAAGTGGAGAATAAGCTGAAACAGGCAGACAACAGGCAAGGAAGAGTTGGACAAGCTTGACAGTTCCTCACGGCTGTCAGAGGCTTATAAGTTGAGTTAACCCCTTAATGTTAACCTATTATCATCATTATCATACCACTCTAACCCCGAGCTGTTTTTCTCGCTGAAGCTTACCACCATCATCAAGTTAACCAGTCACTGTTTGTGTAAATCAACAAACTGGGAATTTCATTGTAATAAATAAAGCTGTATGTCAAGTTTTAAACTACATAGTTTGTTAAATTCCAAATGTCTGTTCTTACATGTTTAATTAAACTGTTAAGATAGATTACCATTTGGTGGGGGCTCAAATAATATAATAATTCTTTAATTATTAATAATAACACCGGGAGAAGGTAGATGACGGAGGAATCACTTGCCCTGTCTAATAATTCATTAACATTAAGTATGATAGACATCTAAAATTCCTTGCCTTCTCTTGTGGGTACCAAGTTCAGCTAATGTTAATATACTTAACGAGCCAATATGGCTGTTTTCTTGGATATCCAGGACTTTGTCTGAGAGCAACATAGCTCAGATTTTAGTTCGGTGTATCTAGTGGAGAGAATGTGTTGAAAGGAAGATCCCTACTCAACAACATAAACATTTAAACCACGCGTCACGTCACAACAACCATGATTAGATTGCAAGAATAGCAGGTCTAAAAAAATGGTCAAGCTAGACCAGAGCACTATAGGGAAAGCCAAAGAAATATAATAAACAAAGGACTGGTGTCATCAGCCGCAGCACAGTGAGATGTAAATTGAGGAGAGGCTCTGAGGACTTTTGGACTGGATGGTCTGATGTGCAGTGAAGATGACCTGTCAACTAATTAACTAGCTAACTAAGCCTAGGTTGGTCATGATTTCTCCATGGTTTGAAAATATTATCAGCAAACTCCAACCTTAATGATTTAGTCTAAATCAAAACCAGACTAACTATTCAGACAAAAAAAAAAAAAAAGCTAGATTCAGGAAAAAATACACAATGCTACAAAACAATTACTGAAAAAAAGAGAAGAGATATTGACAAGCAGACATGATTTCTGAGTTAACAGACAATAACCCGTACCTGTGTATTGTAAAAGGCCCTTGGTGGAATGTCTGAGAAGTGTCCAAACACTGAAAGAAGTCAGAAGCTCAGTCATTACAAATATTAGATCATCCAAGTAACACAGTTGTAATGAAACTGCAGTTGAACCTTTATGAGTCCTAGGTGACTTATAAGTCTAATACGTGCCCGGAAGAGTCTAGGACAATGAGGGCAGGACACAGTGTCTGTAGATGAAAACCTTGTCTGGTGGTTCTTTCTGGCCTGTCTTCGCTGTTCAGCTGCCCTTGTTCTAGATGTCTTGCAGATCATTGTATCATTTTGGATACATGTGCGCTGTAAAGTACAGACTTGTGCTGCATTCTCCCAGGTGTCAGGGTTTATACTGAAGGCTTCCAGTGATGCCTTTAGTGTGTCCTTGAAGCGCTTTTCTGACCGAATGAGAACGTTGACCCTCCCGTACCTCACCATCGAAGATTATTTTTGCAAGTCGATCATTTGAACACTATGGCCAGTCCATTGAATCTGTGACTGCATCAGGATAGTATTGATGCTGGGAATATCAGCTCTGCCCAGTACGGCAGTGTCTGGGACCATGTCTTGCCACTTAATATTCAGTATCTTTCTCAGACAGACTGTATGTTAGTGGTTTGGTAAGATTACAGAGCAAAAAGAGACAATGTGGTTTGTATTTTAAATTCTTCATTTTCATGTTCACCCGCTGTAAACTCCGGTGGAAAGTTCTGGCTGATTGTCCGCTTCTGGACTTTAGTACTGTTCCAGGACTAGAATTCCACTCCACACATGTTGCTTATTTTTAAGTAGACTAATTCCTCGCCTCTCAGGCAGATGCTCTCTGACTTTGAAGGAAACACCTCTAATTAGTTCACCTCTAATTAGTTTTCTTTTATGACGTACTTGCTAGGAAAGCAGTGGATCTATTCTTTTCTCCCCAAATTGGGGCCTGGGGGGGCCCACTGGTAAAGTATTTCAGTTAAAAGGATTCATGTTTCATGCTTCACTATATGTTTATAAACCTCTGTGAAGAGGCATCTAATGAGTTACAGCAAAATATGCCAGGCAATAACTGCAACAAATGTGTCATCGCTGTTTAAATACATAATAAGAAAACATGGAAAACACTTTTTTGAGTTTTTAAATGAAACAGTTGTTAGTATCATAAATATGACAACTTTTTAATGTTAATCAAGCAACAGTCTCACAAAATTGTTTTCATCTTTATTTCAGCATATCAAATTAAGATAGTCACTGCAAGGAGCTTGTTCTGATTCTACAAAGACACAGTTAAATGAAGCAAGTGTATTATCTTCAGTAGAAAATGAGATGGATTTGTTCAGCTTGTTTAGCTTTTGGGTCCCCTCAATGTACAGAAAAAAGAACTGGGGTATATGGGAAAGTAAACACATCAACTTTTTCAATGATAAAGGACTGCTTTTTCTGTTATAAATAATGATGCCTTTCTTGGTACTCAGAGAATTAACATTCTGACTACTGATTACTAATTTGAGAATTAACATCACAGTGTTGATAACCTACCTCTATACTGATAAAGGCCAGCATCTGGAAGGAGTCGACGCCAGATCTTGAAGTCATTTCTGTCTACAAGCTGCTCCCAATCATTTGATTCCAGCAAGTTTGTATCAATTTCTAAACCTTGCTGCTTTCTATGGCTCAGCTCAACAAGTTTGTTCACATTCTCCATTTCTTCTGTGCACCTGTAGAAACATTCATCAATGATGTGTCTAAATGCACAGACAAGATAGGTAGTCACATGAGAAAAACTAGGTGAAAAATACATTATCTTCCCCATGTGGGTTCCGGGGCCCTGTTATAGGGAAAACAAGCATAGACCCACCGCCTACCCAAAAGCATGTAGTAAGAGTCGACTAATTGGGAGCTTCCTTCAAAGTCGGAGTGCCTCTGCCTGAGAAGCAAGGAACCGGCAGTCTGCATACAAATGAGTCAGATCTGTAAAACGGATACACATGCAACACTCAGGTTTTGGAACAGGGCTGCAGTCCAGAAGTGGACAAACAACCAGAACTTTCCGCCAGAGTTTACAACTGGTGAAAGCAAAGAAGAAGAAGAAGAAATCTGCTGATACAGTGTGTTAGAAATTATACGTAAAGTAATTAACTCTTTTCCAGATCAGTGGGTGGCATACTAGATATATTTAAGTCAACCCATGGCCACTCTAATGTTAAGATCATGCCAGCTGCCTTTACTTCCCATAACTATCAGGATCTACCAAGGAGGCAGGGTCCTATTTTTAAAACATGTGAATCAATGCAAAATGGAACTCAAGATCTTTAGTTCAGCTGGCGAACATCTATCCATTACTGTAACATGACTCTCCACTAGAAATGATGCATTACAATTAATTTCTAATAATTCTAATATTAAAGGGAAAGGATGTGATCTGGAGGTAAGGAAAACTATGACCTTGTTAAAGGACAGGCATTCAATTTCCTTAAACCTGATTATCTTTATGAATGAGCCATACATTAACCCTACCAGACCGCCCTCCCGTTTTTCCGGGAATTTCATAACTGTTCTGTATACCGCTGGCCCTAAATTTAGGCTATTTGCATAGTGCGTGAAAAAGATGCGTCACTGACTAAAAATAACCAACCAATCGTCGTCAGTCATCTTTGTTAGAGATTGCAAATGGCTTCCCCGTGTGTGTGAATCAATTTTGTGTGTTTTAACGTGAAAAAATTCGGAAAATTCAAAATGAAGCGAGCGGCTGATGAATCAAGTTCTAGGCTTTTCACAGTCCAACAGGTGATCGCTACTTTGGTTTATTCAGACTCTGTGATATATATATATTCATTATCTGTGATAATTTCATAAAGAATACGTTCTTGAAATAACACTGTCAGTGAGAGCGCAAATGGTGAGGAAAATCTTGAAAATTATCAATCTTGAAATAGATTGATAGTAGGAGGAGGGGGTGTGTCCATCAAACGGCAACATCTGGTGTTCACTTTGTGAAACAAAGTTGATCCTGATGAGTGAATTCGCACACAAAGGTGGAATATTGGCGCTAGATAAAAGGTCAGCCTATTTTCTACAGTGTCTCCAAGTTTCATCATATTCTAGCCACTCGTTTGCATGTAACTAATGTTTTTGTATATCAAGTTGGTTTCTTCGCGGTAATGCCCAGGAGCTCAGGTTATAGGGACAGTTAAGTTCAGGGCCCTAGGTCTGGTAGGGTTAACTCTTTCAGTACCAGACACATATTTAATAAAAATTATACCTGTCTTCACAAACAGAAGTTAAAGTGCAATGTGTAACAGAATAGCTTAAAGTCCTCAATCCTTAAAACAAGAAGAATGACCTTAAGACTAAAAAGACAAGCGTTATTAGAAAGGATTACAATTGGGTTAATTCAACAACTATATAGAGCAAAATGAGATTATGTGATATAAATAACAATGAGACAGAGTAACTAATACACACACAGCGTTGCCTGGTAGTAAAGAAAGGGTTAATCACATAGGAAACAGAGAAAAGTCAAGCTTTTATGACCAAATAATATGTATCGGTGTGTGTGCATATATATATATCTTTGGTTAAGGCAGCGGAGTGTGTTTGTATATGCTAAAGTGTAAATTTTGCCTTTGGTGCGGGAAGTGGGGGGGGGGGGGGGGGGGCCCTCTTACTGTAAATGCTACAGACGCATTTTACGAACATAACTAATAAATACGTCAGAGACAAAATATACAAATTTGCAGGACATCAGGAGCCTCTACTGGCAGTGATGAAATGCCCCAAGCTGGCTTGGTTTGGGCCCATGGTGAGACATGATTCAATTGCAAACTGTACTTCAAGGAACACTGGGGGGTAGTCGAAGAAGAGGAGGGCGAAGAAGAAACGAATGATAACATCAAGAAATGGACAGGACTAAGTAATCATACACTTATTCATCAAGCGGAAGACAGAGAAAGATGGCGAGTTTTATGTACTAGTGCTTCCATCAATACACCTTCACGACCCTAACCTAATGGGTCAAGGGTTTTGTTATGAGATATTTTTGTCCAACCACATTTATTAACACAGCAAGTATTGTAAATGTAACTTACTTCTGCAATTCTTCATCACTGACTCTCTCCTTTTCCCACTGGAAGACTGTTGCAGAAAGTAAGGCTAGCAAGGGGCGACTCTTACAGCGAACATGTGACTTAATCTTCTGCATCAGTACCTGTTCTCCATAGATACGCTGATACAACAGTAGAATTTGGTAAGCTCGCCTCAACCTCAAAGCAGCAACCCGGTTGCACTGTTGCGTCAAGACAACATTCAGCAAGTTTAACTTGACACTAATATTATTTATCAATAATTGTAATTTTTGATTTGCGTTCTGTCCCAAAAGCAATCTAGAAGAACCGTTGGCGAAATTAGTTAACGAATGGGAGATGCATTGTCGACAAAAAACTGGCGAAACCAAAGTGTTGCTAACACCAGCAGAGATCACGCCCAGATTTGAGAAAAATCTCTGGAACATGCTGAAAACAGGTATAAAGTAACTAATTTTGGCGACGGTAATAAGCACAGTGTTGTTTCCTACGACATTCAGTTACTTGAAGGTAACAGATGATGTATTAACACAGAGTTATATGCAGTGAAACTAAACAGATGGTGAACGTGTTTTCGATAACAGAGCAAACGGCATGGAGACCATGACCTTTCCTCACAACACAATTAGGTCAAGCAGATGCCCCCTTAACTAGTTGGTTGTGCTCAATTTAAGACACTTATGGACAACAGTGCAGTAACATGGCGTTTTTTATTTATCATGCGCTGTTATAAGTGAAGGGTGGTTGACAAATTATTTGTAAAAACGTAATTTTGTTGCAAAAAGGTTTAGTAAACAGTGAAGTGTTTTAAAGCTAGTTCCTTAAGCTGAAGAGTTACATTTCGTATTTACAATTGTCATATCAGTTCGCCGTTCCTATTATTAATTAAAGTTGACATAATGTCTTCTTCTTCTTCTTCTTCTTCTTCTTCTTCTTCTTCTTCTTCTTCTTCTTCTTCTTATCTTCCACTTGTACATCAGTGAAGTGTGGGGGGGGGGAGATGTAATGTTCGTTGATGAGCTCTGTCAAGAGCACTATTAAGACTGATGTTCATTTCTGAAAGGCTGTTCTTAATGCCATCACTCCATATTTTCCGAGGTCTTCCACTCGTTTTACACCCGCTGTAACGTTTTAGTGTAGCTCGCTGTGGCAGATAGTACCAGGGCATTCTTGTTAGGTGTCCAAATCACCTCATTTGTTGTTCACTGATGACCTGTAAGACTGGCTTTATTCCTAGCATTTGTCTGATTTCATGATTTCGTATTCTGTCTTTCCTTAAAACTCCTGCAGCTCTTCTAAGGCATTTCATCTCTGTTGTCACAATTTTACGTTCATTGGAGGATGTAATTGTCCACGTTTGGCATTGATAGCATCATAGTGTTGGCTAAAAAATAGTTCTGATAAGATTCAGTTTAGTACTCCGAGGTATCTGCTTGTGTGTCAACAGGGGAGATAGTTGCCCCATTACTTGATTAGCTTTGGCACATCTGGAGCTAATTTCTCTGTCCAGTTTTCCGTCGGATGTGAAAATTGCTCCCACATACTTAAATTCCTCTGTTTGTCTCAGGGTGTTGTTTTTTAATTTTATTTCTAACTTGTCTTTATGTCTTCCTATCATCATTGTCCTTGTCTTCGTAGTGCTTATTTTCATAGTATATTCCTCCCCTTTGTTACTAATTTGATTTAGATAAACAGAAGGGGGGGGGGGACCATTTGAGGCCGTTAAATATTATGAATTAATCAAGTAACAGAAAGTATTGTGAAAGAAAATTGAGCTAAACAGACTCCAGAAAATAATCAAATCGTTCTCCAGTGGATTCCGGCTCACTGCGGCATACCAGGAAATGAGGTAGCAGACAGACTTGCAAAAAAAAAAATGAAACAAAGGAGAAACAACACACCCATTCATTGTCATTACCAGAAAACAAATAACTTTTCAAGGGAAAATACAAGGAATTGTGGAGAGAACAAACTAACAGTAAACATCCACCAGACCCCATCAGCAGACTCGACAGAAAGCAACATGGGCCTACAACAATTTTCCTTCTACGAACAGGATACTGCAGGCGCAATTACTACATGCATTTTTTTTTTTTTTTACGTATCCAGAAACCATGAGTTGTAAACCCTTTGGCTCGGTACTATGGATATCGCAACCCTTCGGCATTGATTCCATTATAGGTACCGTTAATCTGGGAGAAATGTGGCTGTCGTGAAATGATAGCCATTACGCATCGGTCTGTAAGGCTGATAACCTGTCTTACCTGTAATCTGCACAAAATTCAAACTTGGACTCGCCCGGAAATATATAGTCCCTTATATCTATATATATAGGCCTTTATTGGACAACATTATTATGTCTGCCCTTTCTGGTTACTTTAACTAAACTCCACTTTTAAATGTATATCTCTTCGATATATATTCAGGGAGTTATTTGAGGTTTCTTGGAAACCGATTTACTCCTTGCCCAAGTATACAAGGGACTTCTTTTGTTACCAACGCCTGAAGTGTCTAAGTGACGCTATTCTCCTTGCCAGCTTCTCAAGAGTCCAGACGTGTTAATCTATGCCTGTATCGTTTCATTTTTCAAGGCAATCTGGAATGTCTCAGTTTTTACATATGTTTGGGTAAGTTAATTATAGTTTACGAGTACCTAGAATGATGTCTGTAAAGTAGTCACTGCTGTAGAGAGATCAGTATCGGCTGTGTGATCTCACTTAGTTCGACCGTTCTTGATCGCTAGAGTAGCGGATTCGAACGTAGATCTCCCACTGTACAGACTAAATAACTTATGCCCTCAATAAACCACCCATACTGGTAAAACTTAATACCCTTACAAGTATGTACGTTTTAAACTAACCAGAGAATCTGTACATACGAAATGGGGACAGAATTGGGTCAGGGCTTTGTTAATCAAAGTATGTGTGTGTTTGACCCAGATCGGTGGATGGTAAGACGGGCGGTTGGGAAAGCTAGTGAATGCAGGTACTGACAGTAAATATTGGTGTCTGTGTGCAGAGTGAGGGGGAGAGAGAGAGTGATATATGTGTTAGACCACTTTATCTATCTCCACTGTATATCTGACTTGCCTTCTCTTGCACTAAACAGACAGATACATATAGGAGACTTATGTCTTTTGGTCTGGAGAGGTAATCTGAGGAATGAAACAGGAGAGCAGGGGGGAGTCAGCAGATGGGGGTTGATGACTGATGCTTGCTCTGTCTTTCCTGTCAAGATGTTACCCTCTTGGTGATGACTAATGTTGAGTTATTTTCTTGACAGGATGTATCTTTTGTGAAGAGCTGGTAGAAGTTTCACAGTCCAACCAACATCCACCAACCATCAAACCACCAGAAACAAACTGTTACCCACCAGCTAACACCTGTGAAGGTTCCTGACATCTCCAACATGTGGGAGATGGTACCTCAAACAGCTACCAGTGCTAGAGCTTAGTGTGGCTCAAAGACATTGTGTGTCCTTACTGGTGATAGAGACTTGCTAAGTACCAGTACAGTGCTGTGTCCTCTATGGTGAGGTACTCTCATACTACTTGATCCAGTGGAGCAGAATTCCCAGAGTCAAAGACAGTCGAATCATCCGGAGCTGAGGGAGGCATCATAGACAGAAAGAAGAGAAGATAAGTTTGATGCCTGATTTGCTTTGTGCCTCACAGCTCCTATGTTTCCCAATGATGACAAGATGTCATCTCCAAGACCTTCTGTCTGTGTAGTATCTTTGTGATTTGGACATGATATCCTGAGATCTAGCCTAGGAGATCTGGCATTTGTCTCACTTTTATATATCTATTTTATATTGATTACATGCATTCATTTTCATGGCTGACTTAGGTGTCTTTATTTCACCTTTTTAAGTGTTTAGCAGTTGTGTATGTATGTATCTTCATTATATGTGTTAACATGGTTATGATAATGAACTATCATAACCTGGGGGCTTTCTTTAGTAAGTAGTGGGGGTGTCCAGCCAAGTGTGCCTAGAAATATTGTATTTATATACTGATATATTTTGTAGTGCCAATACTTGAGTTGCCCTACTCCAGAGATAAGTTGAGTGTATATTGGCCACGAGGAATCCCTTAGACCAATACGAGCCAAACGACTCAACATAATTATCTCTGAGTGCTGTTGGTTCTGAAGGAGAAATCCTTACATTAGGCACGCGACAGGAGTGATATGTGACAGTGGCTTTTCTGCCTACCGCCGGGAGTGAACCCGGACCACAAGGAGTTCGTCACCCGGCCACCGCAAAAGTCAGGTTTAACCAACTTCGCTAGAGAGCCGGGGTTACTACATGCATAAAATCAAGATTGTACAGTCCCCACAGTGTGCAAACACCAGAGCACATTCTGCAGACCTGCCCACTTTACATACAACTTCGAAAAGACACCTGGCGTCAAGAGCAAAGTCAACAGAGCAAGCTATGGGGAACCATGAAGGACCTGCAGCTGACATGCGAGTTTATAGAGGCAACCCAGCTGATGGTCTGATCTGAGCATACAAAACCGAACGCAAAGAAGAGATTTTTTTGTTGTTGGTTGATGCCGTCTCTACAATGAAGGGCGACTGCAGTATCTTTAGGAATATTACTTGGCGGCGCCCCCATCGCTTCCCCGGTGTCACTCTCTGAGTGCCATGAAAACGAGTTTCTGTAATAGTTGACTATAACGAGAAATTAATTGAACCGTGAGTACACAGACTACTTAAAAAGGCATTTAAATGATGCGTGTTTCTTTCTTTCTTGTTCTTCTCTGTCTCCCCCAATGAAGCATAGGCCATCAGCCAGCACACACGAAATCGTCATGTCTCTTGCTATTGCTTGCAGCTCACCCCATGTCTTGCCTATCTTTGTAACTTACATTTCTAACTTCCTTCTTCATTTTTTAAATCTGCCATTGTTTATATGCAGCTGTGGGTTCCGGTGTAAAGACATTCTTGTCATGGCCAAGAATATGACAAGACCCAATAATTTACGCCCTGGTATCAGTTTCTTCTATGGGGTTACTTTTTCCTTTTATAATTACAAGACCATTAAAGTAATTAAAATGTCTTTTCTCTACTTCTTCCTCCTTTTTTAAACACCTGGTCTGGAACACATTGATATTCATATCTCATCTCTGCCATCTTAGTTTTCTTGTTCTCAAGAGGTCTCAGCGATTTAAATGATACAGCATGCTTCAAATAACAGAACTATCAACTGTCACTACTGTCTGTCTGATAAGTTTTTAGGGCGGTGTGGTCAGGGAGGCCTTGTACCCGAGGATTTAGTGCCGCCTTGCTAGTGCTGTCACAGACAAATGTAGCACCATACTATTCACCCTCTCCCCAAAGCAAAAAGCCGGCACCATCAAAATAAACGAAATACCCCTGAGAGATGATAAAGAGCCCGCATACCTAGGAGTCACATTTGATGA